CAGCTCCTAGAACAGTGCCTGCCATATGATAGGTGCTCAGTAACTTTTACTGAATGTCAAGTGCTCTTTAATGAAGCTTTCATTTGGTTCCTTTAACAATTTAATTTTGTAACAAGGTAGTATGTTGACATAGTTCAACATTCATTTTAGTGTAAAAAGGTAACACAAAGCCTTGTTCTAATCCTGCTTTCTGCCTAACTGGGTTCCACATCTTAAACAGCAAGCTTGTCCTATAACCGTTTCTATTACTTTTCTTCCAGACTTTGTTTCTGCAAATCAAATACAACTATATTTTACTTTATTATGCAAAAGATAACTCTGATATTAACCTTGATTTTGGTTATTTGATAATATAACTTGATGAATGGGTAAAGAAAAATGTGGTATATTTATATAATAGAATATAATTCTGCCATAAAAAAGAAGTAAATTCTGCCATTTGTGATAACATGGATGGACCTTGAGGGTATCATGCTAAGTGAAATGAGTCAGACAAAAAGTCAAACACTTCATGATCTTATTTACATGTGAAATCTAAAAAAAAAATCAAACTCAGAGAAACAGAGAACAAGTTGGTGGTTAGAGGCTGGGGGTGGGTATGGAGAAATTGAGTGAAGGCAATCAAAAGGTACAAACTTCTAGTTCTAAGATAAAAAAGTTCTGGAAATGTCATGTAAAACCTGGTGAATATAGCTAATGCCATATAGCGTATTTGAACGCTCCTAAGTTCCCATCACAAGGAAAAAATAGTTGTAATATGAGGTGATGGATGTTAACTAAGCCTATTGTGGTGATCATTTTGCAATACAGTCTTATATCAAATCATTATGTTGTACATCTTAAACTAATACAATGTCATATCAATTGTTTCTCAATAAAATGGAACAGAAAAGATACAATTTAGAGATTCTTCATATTCAACTTGGTGTCTTCAATTTTTTTTAGAGTTCTAGTTAATTCTACTGTTTAAATATTCCAGTTTATTAAACCTGCCCATATGGATAAACACTTGTGTTGTTTCCAATCTTTAAAGTAATTAAAAAATGAAACAAAAGAACTTAATACTATATAATAGCATAAATTCCCAGGGATAGGATTGCTAGGTCAAATAGTCTATGTATCGGTAATTTTATATACATATTGACAAATTGCCTTCCAAAAGGGTTATATAAATTTATATCTTCATCAACAATGTAAAAAAAAAAAAGTCTTTTTTTCCCACAGCCTTTCCAGCAGAGTCTTATCACACTCAGAGTTTTGCTAATCTAGTTAGTAAAAAAGAAATATCTCAGTATGGTTTTTACTTGAATTTGTCTTGTGACACAGAGCATCTCTTTATATCTATGAATGAACACTTCATATTTTTCTTATGTTTCTGTTAGGTTAATAGTCTTTTTATACTTGGCTTATAAGAAGCACATTACATAGAGGGAGAGTAGCCCTTTCTCTGTGAGTTTCATTTTTTTTTTTCCAGTGGTGTGTTGGCTAATGTTTAGTAATGGTCTCTGGGGAAAATAAATCCTATTTTATAGCATGTGCTAATATTCATGATGTAAATGTTCTCTCCACAGCTACCAACATGACATCTATGGAATTTGGGAGAAATGTGTAACACCAAGCCATTATGTAATATTTCCATGATACAGACACAATAGATGTCAATCACTCCAAAAGCATGAATAATAACAAAATGTAGTAAACAATTAGAGTGATGACTTTTTGAATATATATTATCTTTGTTTGTAACATTCTTTATTCATAAGTTCACATAACTTAATTTTAAATAAGTTGACAACCAGCTTACAAATTTTCTAAAATTTAATAATCAGCTTCTGTGAGCTAGCATAGGGCATCTCCAACACACCACTGTCTTTTATTCTATTTGTTTTCTGCCTTTTGACTTTTTTTTCAAATGATATTTTTCATCACACAAAAGGTTTTGATGTAGTTTTATTGATCAGTCATATTCTTTATGAGTTCAGAATTCTGAATAATGATTAGGAAGACCTTCCCCATTCCAAGATTATAAAAGAATTTTACCATGTTTTCTTCAAACACTTTTACGGTTTCATTTTTACATTTAAATCTTTAATCCATTTAGAATATATACTAGTGTGTGGAGGCAGGTGAGGCTCCTCCTTGCATTTTTTTTCTTCCAGATGCTTATTCAGTTGTCTCACAACAGGCATTGAATAGTCCATCTTTTCCCACGGATTTGTAAAGTCATTGTTATATGATGCAGCTTTCTTGATTTTAATGAACATGGTATTTATAATTACCTAAATGATGTTTTAAGTATGACTCCAGTTTATAAACAGCTTCCTTGTGTCTGCTTATTTGATTCTTTAACCTGCAGTAGTAGGTTTGGTAGATTATAACAGCTACAATATTTTCATGCCCAGCAGAGTTTTCCATCCTCTACCTCCTTAATCCTTTAGGGAATTCTCCCTTCATGCATGTAATCCTGGAGAGGGAGTCAGTTGGGTTACCCTGGCCAAATACTGGATTATACATCTGACCTAGGATGGCCAATCCAAAAATGCCAACATGCAGAGATTGATTAGGGTTTGGACATCTGACCTGAGCAAGGCAATATCATCTTTAAAATGATATTTGAAAACAACTTTCTCTTAGAATCGTTAAGCTGGGAGATGTGTTCTTTAGATCACCTTAACTGACACATAAATTAAAACCATTTAAGGAAAAACCAAACAAAAATAAGCAGAAATAATGGAGGGCCAAAAATTTTTAAAGGCATCCTTTGGATCTTTGAATCCAGCTTGCCCAAAAGCCAAAGATCTTGGACATCCAGGAGTAAAAACCTACAAATTCCTTTTTTTTAATTTCTGGTTTATGTTCATATGTTCAGTATGGCTTCTTATAATTTGTAATCAAAAGAGTTCTAATGCTCTTCAATAGATATTACTGCTCCCACATTACAGAGGAAGAAACAGAGGTAGGAGAAGTTAAATTCAGTCAGTGATAACGTGTTTCCCACTCTTTGCTCTTACTTTCTGGGACCTGTCCTTCCAGAACTGGCAGATCCTTAATTTGTATACTGTATTCCGAAGATTTTCTGATGATGACTGGGAAGAAAGGCCACATAATGTATGGAGGCTGCTTATTATCTTCTAAAATAGTCAAGATTTAAATTAGATTTGTTCTGTTCCCCCTCAACAACCTTTCCTTTCCTATAAGCCGGGTGATAATTTCCCTGACTTGACTTCTCAACATGGTCAAAATTTTGGCTTTATCCTTGGTACCTCTGACTGGAAAAGTATAAAAGCTCATTATCCACTGATGTCACATTCAAATCAGCCTCAGAGCTTCTTTTCATACTGGGAGGAGAAATTTCATTTTCTAAAGCCCTTTTATAATTAGGAATTTTTTATACTACCTAGAATAGAGTATACCTTAAAAAATATTCTGAGTTAGAATTGGTCCTCTAAAAATTCTCTTTCCCATGGAATATCTGGGCTTCCCTGGTGGCTCAGACAGTAAAGAATCTGCCTGCAATACAGAAGACCCGGGTTGGATCCCTGGGTCAGGAAGATCCCCTGGAGAAGGAACTGGCTACCCACTCCAGTATTCTTGCCTGGAAAATTCCATGGACATAGGGGCATGGAGGGCTACAGTCCATGGAGTCGCAGAGTCAGACACAACTGAGCACCTAGCGCGCGCACACACACACACACACACACGGAACAACTAATACTTAGAGCTTCACAAATAGAAATGTTTTCTTTCAGGACTTTCCTGGTGGTACAGTGTATAAGAATCTACCTGCCAATGCAGGGGACAAAGGTTCAGTCAGTCCTTGGGCCAGGAGGATTCCATGTGCTGAGGAGCAATTAAAGCTGGTGGGTGATAGCCCCATGCTGTAAAGTCTGTGCTCCGCAACAAAAGAAGCCACCTCAAGGAGAAGCCTGAGCAATGCAACGAGGAGTAGCCCTTGCTCACCACAACCAGAAAGCCTACGTGCAGCAATGAAGACCCAGTGCAACCAAAAATAATAATTTTTTTAAAAATAAATGTTTTCTTTCAGCATGAAACACAGAAACTTCTGTTAAAACGCAAACAGTCCCTAGACAGGTTTACATACAAGTCTTATTGGCCATATGCACCTTAATGTGAATTCATTTAGCAGATCAGAACATATTTTCACTGAGGGAATAGGAAACAGAGGAGAGTAAGTAGTTGGGGAAAAAAATGAAGGAAAGGCAGGGGATACTACTGATGTGAGAAGGAGTGAAGACATGGAGAGGCGGAGACAATTACTAAAGGCTTTCCTCCCAAGTCACTACTGAGATACAGCTGTGAACCACAGCCAGGGTCAGGACAAGCTGATATGACAGCTACCACTAGGAATGAATTGAATTAGACAGATTCTCTGAGCTCGGAAGGGAGAATCTAATTTACCACCAGAACCATATCATTATCTTCACATTTTCTTCTACTTGGTCATTTTTGGCATTACTCAAGACCCCTCATGAGCTGGAATTAGTGTGCCTCCAGAAATCAAACCCAACCATTTGCAGCATGTAACTGCAGCTGTCCCACACTGTCAGCAAGCACCAGCTCCCTGAGCAATTTACTACCTGGACAGAACTGCATTTCACAAGCCTATCTGTTCTCAACTGTCACCCAATAGCCTAGTGGATTCCTCATCTATAAAATTTCAGCTTTCCAAGCAAGTTCCTATTTCAAGCCTCCTTACAGTGGCTCAGAGGTCTTTGTTCTGCCATTTTTCAGTGACTGCACACACCTTCTCTTAGATTACATGCCGAGTGCTCCTTGTTGAAAGTTCAAAGTGAAGGCAAAACTACGTTAAAGAAAGAGACATCAGGAAAATGGTAGCCTAGGAAGCTCCAAGTTTTCACTTCCCAACAGAAATGTATTTTAAAAAGGCAGCAACTGTCTGAACCATATTTCTTGGACCTCTGGAAAACACTCAAAGTTTTATAGCCACCAAACAAATACCCAGTCAATAAAAAGCCATATTCAAAATGGTAGGAAAGTTTTATAGCATCTTCACCTACCATTACTCTACCCCTCTCATACTTGGCAGTGATTTTTGGTCTTGAAGTGGTGGCAGCCTTGTTTCCAGTATCATTCCTCAAACTAGAAAAAACAAAGCAGAAATTATTTGCAAATTATTGTGTATATTTGTCCTAAACTGTCCAGTGGATACCTGAAGGATTGACACAAGAGCTTGTCTGTTACATCTAACTCAGAACTCAGGTGGTAAAAGTGGTGGATGCTACTCATAAAACTTGCAAGATGACTATAGACCCACAAAACCCTGGAGCAAAAAATTATACGTGGGAACATACAATAGACCTTCTAAGACACAGAAGAAAAGCTGGGGTAAGACTGAGTATCTAGGACATTTGAAAGCAGCCAAAAACAAGGCAGGGGAGGGGGACTTAGTACTGCACAGTAAGGGTTGTTTGAACCCTTGGATGTCAAACAGAAGATCTGGAGAACGAATTCTAAACTTATAACCAGATTTTCACTGTGTGGAGGTTGGAACCCCAACCCTTAAATTTTCAAGAGTCAACTGTACTTAATACTCAAAAGGGTGAATAATACCCAAAAAGCAAAAAAAGAAAATTACAAGTGTTTATGAGAATGAGGAGAAATTGGAACTCTTGTTTATTGCTGGTGGAAACGTAAAATGGTGCAGCTACTATGGAAAATGGTATGATGATTCTTCAAAAAGGTAAACAGAGAACTACCATATGATCTAGCAATTCCACTTCTAGATACATACCCAAAAAGATTTGAAACCAAGGACTCAAACAGATACTTGTACACCAGTATTCACAGCAGCATTATTCTCAGTAGCAAAAAGGTTGAGGCAATCCAAGCATGTGTCCATTAACAGATGAATGGATAAAAAAATAAGAGTAGGTAAATAGAATGGAATTTTTTTTAGCCTTGAAAATGAATGAAATTCTTATACATGCTATAACATAGATGAACCTAGAAAATACTATGTTCAGTAAAATAATACAGATACAAAAGGACAGATACTGTTTGAATTTTAAGAATTGCACTTATGAGAGTTACCAAAAATAGGCAAATTCACAGAAACAAGACAATAGAGGTAACCAAGGGTCACGGGGAAGGTGGAATGTACAGATTTTCTGTTTGGGATAATGAAAGCATTCTGAAAAGAGTTAGTGGTAATGGTTACAAAATAAACTGAATGTACTTGGAGTCACTGAATTGTATACTTTAAAGTGGACAAAATGTTAAGTTTCACGTTATAAATATTTTACCACACTAAAAAAATTTTTAGCTAAACTGAAGATAAAATGTGTTTTCAAAGCCCTCTAAAACCACCCATTAAGTGTCATTTAATCTTTTCCCCTTATTCAACTAAAATGTATTGATTGCGATATATATATACCTATGGCTGACTCATGTTGATATTTGACAGAAAACAACAAAATTCTGTAAAGCAATTATCCTTCAATTAAAACATAAATTAAAAAAATTTAATGTATTGATTGCTACAGCAGATACCAGCTGATAGGTTCTCAGCTTTCAAAGATATACGGAATAATCCCTGTCATAAAGAGCTTTATAATCTGCTTGGAAAGGCATGAAAGTAAAATTAATGGGCCAAACCAGGTGATAAATACCATGACATTGGTATAATGTACAGAATTTAGGAAGCATGTAGGTAGGAGCATTTAGCTAACCAGTAAATATCTGGAAACACTTTCTGAAGGATGTTAGTGACAGAGCTGAGTCTCAGCATACACAAATGGCTAACTCCTGGCTAGGAGAAAGGGGATAAGCTTCTTAGGCAAGAAAAGCAATATGTAAAAAGACACAAACGGCAAAGCGAATATGAAGGTATTCAGAAAAATAGGATAATATATGAAATTGGTGGGGTGGGGTGGAGAGAGGAGTATGAATATTGAAGAATTGGAAAGAGCTCAGAAAATATGTTTTTTTTTTTTTAATACTTTCTTGACTACACTGCACAGCAGGTGAGATCTTAGTTCCCAACCAGGGATTGAACCTGCACCCCTTGCCTTGGAAGCATGAAGTCTTAACTACTGGATCACCAGGAAAGTCTCAGAAAATGCAAGAGTTTGTACTTTATCCTAAGGGTAAAGAGTAGCCATTTTATAAGGTTTCAGAAAGAGGAATCACGTGATCAGTTATGTCTTTAAAAGAGACCTCCCTGGCTACACCAAGGACAATGGACAGAAGAGGGGCTGGAGCCAAGTGAGAACTAATGAAGGGCCTGAATAAGGCACTGGCAAGACCCACAGAGCCTGGTAGACAGAGTGAGGAAATGTTCATGATAACAACTCATAAGACTAGTTCATGTTTGGATGTAAGTGATAGGAAAACTCTTGAGTTTCTAGCTTGGGAAATTTGGTGAGTGGTAAGACAGTTCACTAAAATGAGAAACCCAGAAGAAACAGGTCTGGGGCAAGAGAGGTCCTTTCTGTTCAGAAATGTTGCACCAGAGGCAACTGTGGAGCAAACACAAAATAGATGGCTATTTAGGTGTGGGGTTTAGGGAAAATGCTTGACATACATATAGATGGGAGAGCCCACTGAAAAGAAAGGAAAATGTGCCTTAAAGGAACCAATGTCTAAATGTACAAGCACATTATAGAAGTAATTATACTCCCATCCACCACAGAGTAATTCAAGGAAAGGAGCAGGTCCTCTGTGTGACATCAAGGTCAAACCATATGAGCAGTCATTCACTCAACCTTCCATGTAATAAGGCTTATGATAATAAACTGATTATCAATAAACCTGCCAACTTTCCAAATGGTTGTCATTTTGAAGCAAAGAGAACTTCTGATATATATCTTGTGTATGGCAAATCAAATCCTAAATCTCTATTTATATTTGAGTTCAATCCTTTGGGAATCTTGTCAACAATCAGAAAAGAGTAGCTATAAAACACAAAAATAAAACAAGTTTTAGTGTACTGTTCTTTTTTAAAAATAGGCATCTGTCCATTTTCCCCATATTTGTTCTTCTTTCCGTCCAGCGCTGACAAAAATGTTTCTTCCAAGTAGATAGATTTTACCTACAGAATTCCAAAAAAATAACTGGATCACATCATATACAGAAGACAAAGACCAGGCTTTGAATATGAAAATCCTGAGTTTGGATTTCATTCCATCATTTACAAGATCATGGACAAATTTATTTATTCACTCATTCATTCAAGCAACAAACACGTACGGACTTCTATATGACATGTCTTGTTCTAAATACATAAATCATACTTAGCTGAAAGTGCAAAGTGTTCATAGACCAATGAGGAGACAGCTATGCAAACACAATATCGCGAATAAGGTAATTTCTAGAAAATTGGGAAACACAGTTCACCTGACTCTGCTTTTTAGAAAAGCTTTACTGAGAATTGAAGGGGGAGATGTTCAGCAGGTAAGAGAGATGCTAAGAACTGTAAGAGACTAATGGACCCTGGAGAGATGGGAAACAGAGTGGGAAGGGATTCCTGGTAGAAGGAAGTGAGGCCAAAGTTAAGATGGCATTAGAAAGTAAACATTGGGTTCTAAGAGCTTCAAGTCATTTTTATAGGGCAAGTACATGAATGACAGAGATAGGTGTGAGGCTTGGCGCTCAAGCTGGTTCCACATCATGCACGTTTTTCTTGCTTTGTTGCCTGGAGGCACCATTGAGGCATCCTCCTTTCCCTCCACTTAGACACAAGAAATACTACTCTTTTGGGTAAATACTGCCTTTTCATATTATTGTTTTCATCTCTCTACTTCAGAAATTCCCATTCATTATTTGGGGACTCTGACATTGTGTTCATATGCTCCTCTAAATTCTGTAGCATCCTGTTACTCAGGGGTTCTTCAGAGAAACAAAACAAATAGGATATAGAGGCACAGAGAGAGAGATTTCAAGGACTTAGCTCACACAATTGTGGGGGCTATAAAGTCCAAAATCTGCAGGGCAGGCCAGCAGGCAGGAAATTCAGGCAGGATTCCATGTTGCCATTTTGAGGCAGAACTGCTTTTTCTTTAAAAAACTTCAGCCTTTAGGCTTTCAACTGATCTAATGGAACACATCCACATTATGAGGGATAATGTGCTTTAAACAAAGTTTGTGTATATATGGGCTTCCCCGGTGGTGCAATGGTAAAGAATCTGCCTACCAGTGCAAGAAACACAGGAGACACAGGTTCAATCCCTGGGTCAGGAAGATTCCCTGGAGTAGGAAACAGCAAACCACTCCAGTATTCTTGCCTAGAAAATTCCACAAACGGAGGAGCCTAGCGGGCTACAGTCCATGGGAGCTGCAAAATGTCAGACACGACTGAGTAACTGAGCATGCACATGCATGGTGTATACATTCATGAGCAGGCAGAGAGAGAAAGTTAATCACACTTAAAAATACATCTTCACAGAAACATCTAGACCGGTGGTTGACCAAATCACTGGGTACCATAGCCTAGCCAGGTTGACACACAACATTAACTGTTGCACATCCTTTGAGACTTCTTTTTATAAACTGAAATATAGCTGATTAGGGGCTTCCCTGATAGCTCAGTTGGTAAATAATCTGCCTGTATGCAGGAGACCCTGGTTCAATTCCTGGGTCAGGAAGATCCGCTAGAGAAGGAATAGGCTACCCACTCCAGGATTCTTGGGCTTCCCTTGTGGCTCAGCTGGTAAAGAATCTGCTGCAATGCAGGAGACTTGGGTTCAATCCCTGGGTTGGGAAGATCCCCTGGAGAAGGGAAAGGCTACCCTCTCCAGTATTCTGGCCTGGAAAATTCCATGGACTCTATAGTCCATGGGGTCACAAAGAGTCAGACACGACTGAGTGACTTTCACTTTCATAGTTGATTTTTTAACACGATGTTGTTAGTTTCATGTGTGCAGCAAAGAGGTTCAGTTATACATATGCTTTCAGATGCTTTTCTATATGTTGCTTTCCCTTTCCTTCTAAAGGTTTAAGTTATGGATATCTTTATGCATATTTGTCTTTTCCAGAAGAATAACATATTAAGTCATATGAGTTCAAGTGGGCTTGAGAGAGAGAAACCTAAGTGTAATTTCGCTAAGTGAGCGGATGCTCAGAGTGAGCAGGAGGTAGGAGAT